AATGGCGTATTTCAACATGGCCGATGAATATCATGTCATTGAACTTTTTGGAGTAATCTCTTCTTTTAGATATTTAGGAATGCATTTAAAGTATTTTCTAAAGAGTTTACAGATGTTATACTTGTAAGAATAAGAGAAGTTACAGGAGAGAATTGACATCTGGTAGTGAAGATACATTGCGTGGGGTCACCAGCATCTAATTTCCCTCCCCCTTTGATAATTTTTTTTTTCATTTTTTAACTCTAAAACAAAAATGTAACAAAAAGTTCTTTTTATTTCATTTCACCAAGCATCTCTAGTACATAGCAGATGTTGGCCAAGTCACACATGTATATGTGTATATATAACATAAAAAAAAAAAGTACAATTCAAAAAGATATTTGAATTAATTTTGAAGGATTTCTGAATGAATACTATCCGGTTAAAGTTGATAAGCATCAAGAACATAAGTGGAATGACATGATGGTTAATAAATATTTAACAAGCAAGAAATTTTATTCGAAGAATAGAATATTTAAATGCTGCATTTCCTAATTTCAGAGGAAACAGACGAATAAACAGGGAGAAGAAGAGAGGCCCCGCTGTTTCATGGATTGACTGCGACGGCTCAACTAGTTTCTCTGGGCAGTTGTGTAGACGCTAAGAAAGAGAAACATGAGGTTATAGGTCCAGTAGAACAACAAGGAGAGCTAATAGAAAGAGATAAACTTGCTCTGTGTTGAGCTAAGAAAAGACGAAAGAGAGAAACGAACATGTTAGGAGGATTCTTCTTTCCTTGTACGCAGTGTGACAACGTGATTTCAGTCAGTGGCGACCTGTTGGTAGTTGTTGGCTGGCTCCCGCACTTACGCGTTTCACACACAACTTAAGGCCCTTCCTGAGGTTTTGTGAACGTGAATGAACACACACGAAGTCACCCGAAGTCCACCGTTCGGACCATTCGTACCACCAAACGGACCCCAATGCGCGACCAAGCCAAACCCTGGAGAGTGGGTAACAGGCGCGTACACTCGTACCACAGAGAGATGGGTACCACTACGGATCAACAACAGAGAGACTAAGAGAGACACTGATCCCAGGGACGGATAATACCTTGGGAGTTCTTTTTAACTAATTAAAGGATTTTCTACTAAATAACTTCTTTTCTTTTTTTCAAATTTTCATTCATTTCATAACGTTGAATAAATGAGTACATCTTTGTAGACTAAATATATGCAAGCAGTAAAAACTTGGAGAAAAAATATCACGAGACGGAGAAAGATAACAAAAAGTAATCAAGTGATTGGTAATGATGCACTTGAAAGGATACAAAAGTGGATAGAAAATTTTGAGATGTAAAAAATGTAAGAAAAAGGGTGAAAGAGAATATAACACCGGATATCCTCCAGACAGTATTCAAGTAAACGTGTGCTCAGTAGCTACCTTCAACCCTCTACTTTCTTTATGCAATCCACCTACACACATAGATCAAGTTAATCGACCTAATGTTACACCCTCAAATAAATAAAACGTAGTAAATACAGTTATTAAAAAAGGAAATTCAACATGAATATTTTCACACAAGTGATTATTATGTTGAGCACTTAGTGTCTCCGTTACGGTACGTAAACAAACTTGTGTATGATTATTATTATGTGTATGTATTTCTCGGACTTGAATACCGTGATAATTACGCATATCAATTAATTTAATCAAGAACGATACATTCCAAGTACTGCATATCTAATTAAATCATTTTTTTTGTAATGAAACCTGATGTATCCCAAGAAATTTCAAAAGGTAGTGTGACTAAATTTCATAGACCAACAAATAAATAAGGATGAATTGGGAGAGGGGTGAAACACCTTCCAGGCATGTTGAATTCTTGCGTGGTAAAGCAGCAGGTAAGTGACTCCACACAGAGTTTTTATGAATTTTTCTCTTGCTATACAATCTCTTTCTCCGTCTATCTTTCTCACTCTTGTGCTTTCTTTCATTTTGTTCTCGCCTTATTGGAGTTTCTTGACAGTATCTTACTTTTAGCCTGTGGGTCTGAAGATGGAATGTGGATGCCATATGGTTGAGACTCATGTCCACCCACCCAATCCACCCACTACACTGTTGGTCCACCCACACATCCGCATACAATCTACATATTCTGGGGCAAAAGTGAGACAAGAAATCGTCCGTACAACGTGTCACACCACTTGGCACGAATACCATGGAAAAAATCTATTTTTGGACAAAGCGTGAAAGATGAAGACAAGGACAGAATGGAAAAAAGAGTAAGATACAATCATTCGACATTCAATTTATTCCATTTTTCTTTTTTATTTTGTTTTTATTTTCTCTCCGTTTACGAAACATGGATGAATTAGTCTGATATTTTATTCAAAGAATTGGCATTGAAAAAAAAGAAATTCAACACAACACCAATAGAGAGATATATGTATGTGCGTGTAATATATAATACTTGAACCAAATGGACATACGGGCCGGATGTGATGTGATGACACATAATGATGAATGTAGATCATGCTTTGCAGTGGGCACGGTGAGAGGTCGATAGTAGAGAGGGAGAGAGAGAGAATCGGAGAGGCCAGAGATAACGGGGTTGGCAAATAGAGATAGCAAATAAGAGAATCGTATGTATATATATATATATAAAACTAACAATTCAATTCAACAATTCATTAATGTAAATTGACCTACAAAACCTTTACAATAAAAACTACTTTCAACTCTTTTTTCAGACAAATATGCACTTCATTAATTGGAGTAAAATTCATCATCCAATGTAACATTTACATGGTAATAATAATGATAAAAAATAAATAAAAGATTATCAGTAGTGAAAATAAATAGATTTGTCGTCAGAAGGTCACTTGATATCTCCATCTGCATTATTGATTAATAATTGAAAAAAAAAGTCACGTAAAACGAATTTGAAATATTTGCATTTATTGCAACAGTGATAAGACTACGCATGTGTAGAAAGTAGAATTGAGAAGGCGAGAATGAGGATTTCATTCATACGGTTGTATAGTTTCCCTTCTTTCACCGCTCTTTCCACGTTCACCACGTTATCCATAATGCCACGCGTGCGCAATTGACATAAACTACCGAGTTACGAGAATTGACAAAGACAAACGTATTAAAGGTATTAAAGCAGAAAAAAAAAACACTCAAGTGATGGATTGCATACACATTTGAATTTCTCTTTAACATTATAAATGTAGATAAATTCATGTACTTCATTTGATTGTTGAATAGGCGCAATAACTGCCACGAGAGCGGAAGTGCCAAGCTGGTTCTTAAGACTTTCTCGTAGCTTTCTATATCTCACTGTTGGCGTTTCATTCATGCAAGAGAATGTACAACTATGACATTCGGGTTCTCATTCTTTCACAAAACCCCACCACCAATTTATTATTCTTTCGTAGTATATATCTTTTTTCCCCAATGCATGAACTCGTTGTATGTTAGACATTACATATAAACTATAGTAAACGTAAAGAACTAGCAACTTAACCCAACTTCTAACCTCGCCTACCTAATAACCGTTACTTTATAGCCACTACCACTCCTATGAACCATCTGTCGGGATTCTGATGTTATTATACAAGAAACCAGAACGATTTCTTGCTCATTTTCTCTATTTTTATTATACTTTTTCTTCACAATTATTCCCTCCACAATTCCCAACTAATGCTTTTCATTCTTCAAGCAGTAAAGAATCATTTTAATATCACTCTCAACCGAGATCAAGTACATGGCTTCATTCAAGATTTGTAAATAAATTATCAATCCATCAACATTGTCACTTGAATGATTTAAATTTAAAAGCCAACAACACTCAATAAAGATAAATTTTGTTATTCTGGATGAAACGTCAGATGAGCTAACTTTTTATCAAACCATCGCTACAAGGCTGTCATAAAACCTGTCAAGAAGTGATTACTAATGGACTACTGCAATAATTTATCTACTTAGAACTTGGAACAGAATTGGTCTTGTAAAACTTTTATGCTGGATTATGGAATGATTTAATTCACTAATATTTTGTTAGTATATTTAAAAAAGAGTCTTAATGATGACGAAGGCCATGAAAAGGACATAAATTTGAATCAAATATTAAGTACATTCTACCTTTCAAATTTGATCAAGTCGAATGGAAGGAATTCGAATTATTGAAATCCAAGTTCATGGTTACGAAAGATTTACTGTGATTAAATTTCGAAATTTCAAAAGTTTCAATATATGTAAAATAATCATTTCAGCTGTGTAATTGAAAGGTAGATGATGATAAAGAAGAAACAGATAACATCAATATATTTTACAAAAGCACAAAACTTCTATGAATGTTTGATGAAAGATTATGATTCATTAATGACTCAAGAACAAATGTTTAAACCATTCACATTTAGCTACTTTATCTACACTTCTTTGTTATCTATACTCTCATTCACCAATTCTTGTTCATAAAGGCCTTTTTATTGCGAGTATTATTTCACTTGAAAATATTCGAAGTATGTTACATAAAATAATATTTTTATTAATAAAGAGAATAATGTGTAATCTGATTTGCTGTGTCTAAAACGACATTTTTTTGGCTAGCACATTTAGCCTTTAGTTTATAAATAGATCATAATCCAAAAAATAGTCCACGCTACTAACTTATTTAATCTAAAAACAGAATTCGGTCAATTTCAAATATATCTTTGTGGATTAAAGTCTATTAATAGCATCACTGACCAAAAAGTTATTAATGAAATATTAATTATCAAATAATAACAACCTTTAATTGATGATATTACACCCAACTGAGTGTGATGTTTATTTATCTCATCACAATTGATTTAATATCAAACACGTTTATTAAATGACTTTAATGAATGTTAATTGTTGTTCCAATAATTAAAAAAAAAATGAACTATGTTGAAGGATGAAATGGAATGAAAGAAGAATAAATTTTGATTTAAAAAGAAAAAAAGAGTAAATAATTGAAAAAAGTAACTCACCGTTACGACTAGGTGGCCTAGGTGGTGCGGGGTACTGTGGTGGCGCGAGTGACGGGGGTGGCGGCGGGGTTTGATGACACCTCAGTCCTTGGTGATGTCTCCCAATATTACCGGACCTCGTGATTAACGGGGTGGTAATTGGTGAAGACGTTATTGACGATCCAGTGGTGATATGTGATGGATTAATGACAGAACCACCGCCACCACCAGTACCAATTGATCCTGAAGCAGCCTCAATGTTCCTAAGCGTTGAACAACTAAGTTGTTTATTTGGCGGCCAGGGTGGGCGCCGCGGTGGCAGCGCCGGGGGCGGGGGACAGTCTAAGGTATCCACACTTCCACACTTTTAATCCACCGTGCGCTAAATTAATAAATCACGTCCCCACCACCCTCTTGATGATATTTTACCCTCAATATTATTATTCACTGTTTTTATTATGTATTTACAACACAAATATTCGTGATTTTTGGGGCCTTTATATGACTCCTTAAACTTCATTCACTTTGGTTTTTCTTTTTTTTTTTTTTATTTTAATAATTAACAGTTTCGGTGTAATATTTATTAAACACTCTACACCCACCAGCAGCAGTTTGGTACGCGCAGCGCGTGAACGCGGCGCGCACCCTGCGATAATCCCGAGGCGGCTCCTCGAGCCCCGTCGTTGTGCCACGATAAACTCTTCCCCTCTCTTCAGGGCGATGAGACTCGACGAGGGAACGAGATAAAGAGATTTCAAGAAGAGGAAGACGAATAAACTCAAGTAAATGAAAGTAACTTTTTTACAAATCTCTTCTTATATTTATATTTAAATATTATTTGCTGTTATTTATTTTAAAACTTCAATCATTTCTTTATTTTATTTCAATAATATTCAAGTATCATTGTTAATTTTAATTCAATTATTTTAAATATTATTGATAAATAATCATGATTGTTTGATTGTTTTATTGAATTTGTCACTTTCACAATTATATTACTCTTCACGTTTCAACGTGATTTAAAAACCATTTTAGACAATGATATATTTAAATAGACCAATAGTAAACTCATGAAACCACGTGAATCGTTAATAAATATAAACTTGTTGAACTTTTTGACAACAACTTGTTAAAACTCCGATGTTAAAAAAATAAAACATTGAGAAAAAATTCGAAAAAAGTTCACGGAATAACGTGTTAAAATAAAAAATAGAAAAACACAAGAAAAGTGATAGGAACTTCACGGGCGCTCCTTACACACTGGCGGCCTCGGTTGCTCTTCTCAGCCTCCCCCACTCCAGACGTTGTTTCCTCTCCATACCACCGCGCACGCGAGGTTGCTCATACGCAGGCGCGAGAATGTCCCTCTCTAGCGAGGAAATCGCGTGAGGGCGACCGAGACCGACTCACCGGACGGTGTAGTTTTCTAAATAGTAGGGAGAGGATGAACGACACTGAGGAGAAGGGACGAGAGAGCGGTGATCGCGTAGGCCGCCAGTAAACAGGCTCTTTCATTCACTGCTTATTTTATACCGGCGGCTCCTAAGACCACAGAAATAGCTGTCGTCTTTCCCCGCATCCCGCGTCATCGTGTTGATCTTCCATCGCGCGCCTTCCGCCTGATCTGCCAGGTCGTCGTTTATTCTTTCTCTCTCTCTCTTTCTTTTCTCTTTCTCTCTTACTCGAGTGTTGCATGGACCAAGAGGGGAACGAGGTGACACTCCCAGGGCGAAGAACCTTTAAGTTTAACTTGGGCCTACTACCAACAAGCATAACTTTTCAAATGCTTTTCCTTCACTCGCATAACCTGCCCAAGTATCTTCGTCTTTTGCCTGTTTTTAACTATGTTCCTCCCAGTACACGAATTATTGCTAATACTGAAAATACATGATCAAGGAAGCTGTCCAGCTTTACTGAAGATAAGCAAACGACACACGAAGGGAAAAGAGATAGAAAGAATCAGAGAACAAGTTAAAGTGAGAGGAGATACGTGTTCCGAGAGAAGTTCAGCTGGCCTCGGCGGCCATGTTGTAGACAGTAACGTATCTCGCCGATTTATACCCACAACTTCCTATTTCTCAACACTTTTTTTTGCCTCTTCTTCTTATTCACTATTTTACGTAGCATACTTTTAACTTCAATACTCTGATCAATTTCTAGCACTTAGGAAATCTTTCTTTTCATCCATTTTTTACGATCTACCTGCCATCTATCATAAAAAAGCGCCATTGTTTAAATGGTTGCATGGTGGTGGTGGAATATACATTGATAAGATTCTAAATAAAAATATGATTTTTCTAACAACCTATCTTTGCTTAAAGTTGTTGAATTTTTCAAATTTCATCCTGATAATATAAACAATTGAAATGAAACATATTTATTACTTAATATAATAAAGTGCATTTATACAAGTTACCATACTAGCTCTTTTCTTTTCCCTTTCTTTCACAAGTCATCACTCGTAGCTGTTACAGTAGACCAGACACGATACTTCATTCATGTTCATATTGTAAACTCAGGAACGTAATTTACATCTTTAGAACCATTTTCTTCTATTAAACATTACCTAATAAAAAATACTTATTATATAAAACAGTAGATAAATAAATTTTTTAAAAAAATAAAATCAATTTTTAGAATAATTAAAATGATTTTATACTTTTATATAGAGCTTTTATTGTATTTCTTCAAGTCATTGTAACTTGCTGCAATCATCTCAAATGTATCAATAGGCAACTCGTTTGTCCAGTTGAACCAATAAAGCCAGCGGACACATGTTATTAAACCAAGAAGACACGTATACTGTAAAAGGAGAAAATAAAAAGTATTTAAACTTGAAGATGAAGGAAAAGTTTAGTGCAATGCATATCATTGAAGTAAGAAGGTGTTGGCAAAGGAAAAGGAGAAGGAGAAAAGGGAGGAAGACAGTCAAGGTCTTCGTGGGGTGTCGAGTTACTGTCTCTTGAGAACACAACGAGAATCGCAACATCATCTAAACTAACATCAGAATTGGATATTTTTTATTCTCTTATTCACAGAAATATTAATTAAAATAATGCTATCGTTAAGAAATAAATAAAAAAAAAATTGGAAAAAATTAATGATAAGATGAGTTATTGCTTTCAAAGAATTGTACATATTTCTTGTATACGATAATTAACCAATTAACCTCAGGCAATTGCTACAAGAATGGAGAAATAGTAGTAGAACCTCGAGAAAAATAAAATCGAGTCAATAGAGTTGTATTGTTTGTAATGTTACCATTATTATTATTTACGCATTTGCTAGTTAATGTGGCAAAGAAATAAGTTACTAACTAGTGAGAAAAACTATTTAGTTTAAAACTCTAAAGATAAGAAAATGCATTTAATTTGTATCCAACAAAAATAATAAAGAAAGATAGGAATGAAAAGAAAAAGAGAACAAGAAGTCAGCGGAAATACGTTCGCTGATTCGACTCGATAGAATAGGATAAAGATACATTTCCGCACCGGATATCCTCCCTCGGAAAATCTCTGCTAATTATCCTACTACTATCTTGTCTCTTTACTTATTTGTCTCATTTAATTATTCCACAACGACAAATCATTGTTAACTAATTCATTTAAAACAATATTTCTAATTCAATTAACATGTTCTAACACTCTAATCACAATTCATATACATTGATTCATTAATAAAATTATGCATAATTAAAATAAAGTTATAAATAGGTTGAATTAACCATTCAGTAATGTAGATGTTTGGTAACAATTTTAACTCTAGAGGAAATTAGATTTTAATATCAATTTTCAACTTGGTAAACTCGATGTTATTTTAGTAAATGTCAACGTGAAAATTAAAGTTTAACAATATCTTCATCAAAGTGAATAGCAGTATCGAAGACTGGAGCTGATGAAAATGTTATTAAATATTACTTGAAAGTTGGCATGAATTGAAGAATAATATGATAAGTATAAATATTAAATCAATGAAGAGAGTAGCTAAATGCATCCTGTTGATATTAATCGTACGTACCAACTCACATGTTACATATATTGACACCGTTGATTGACACCACACTCGTGCGAAGTCTGTTGGGCCCAATTGAGATTTAATTTTGACCCAGATCTTGAAGTAAAGTAAGTTTAGAGCTAAAATTTAAATACATATCATATTTGAAGACTGTTGAAACCTAATGCAGATATCGTTGTATTGATTATAAAGCAATTTAAATAGGTGAAGGATGAAAATAGAGAATCAATATTGGAGGCAGGGTTCCAAACAGCTATCATTACGCCATTGGCAAATCCTTGAATCTCTCCCTTCTTTTCAGCTCGATGGCATTCGAGTCCTCGTTGTGTACGGGTTTGTGAACATTCTCGCTTCTCACAAGCGCACACGCAACAGAATGAGGCGAACCCGCGCGATACGAGGACAACCTGCGGATATATGAATGACTCGAAATGACGTGCATTCATTGAGCTCGACTCTGTCTTGTGAGCCTCCTCCTCTCCTATCTCACTACAACCAAGCAAGGACATGACACATTTCTGCAAGCTAAGAAAACGTACTAATATATTCTCAATCACATTTCATCTTCGATTTAACACTGATTCATTTACTTATCTTGTTGATTCATTAATATTTCATTCAATTGTCGTGTTTACTTTCGACATATTTGTATTTTTAACTCGACATGATATCCATTACACTAACTGACGCATATTCTCATGTTTTTTATACTTACAACTGCTTTTTAATTCATGTTTTTATCGTTTTTTATTAAATATTTTTATGCAAGGAAAAGTTTGAGGAAATTTTTTTTTATTGTTTGTAAAATATATTGTTATTTTTTTTTATGTTCTTTTTAGTAAATTATTATTATACTAATTGTTGTTAATTGTAAATAAATTTTTAAACTTTTTTCAAGTTCTTTCCAATCACTCAGTTTATTGAGAAATTTTTTTCTACTGAATGTAAAACATATTTTAATGAATCCTCATTTATCCATTCAGTAGCAATAAAAGCCATTGATAACAGTTTTCTCATGAATTGATCAAATGAAAATATTTATTCATGCAAAGAATAAACCAGTTTTGCGAAACATTAAACCTTTACTAACTTATTTATATTCATGTATTTTAAGTTATTTCATATTCGTATATTGCAAATTTATTTATTATTTTTTTTTTTTTTTTTACACATTGTAAATACAACACATTTTTCCACATACAAAAAACAGACTAAGCTTATCATGAGAGAATGAGTGATTATCGTACATATTTCTTGTTTTATTTGTTATAATAATGATCTCTATAACGTATTCATGATTATCATTTTTTTTTCTTAGAAAACAGAATAATAAAAATAAATTAATAAAGTACGGTAAAAATTTATAATCATCTTTATCATTTACTTCTTTTTCTTCATCATTATTTTCCTCATGCAAATATTATAAAGTCATTAATGGAATTATGTCTTTTCTGACTTTTATTTATCAATGTATTCATTAAATCCTTCCAGACAATTCTTTTTTATTATGTCTCATTTTTTCAACATTATCATCTTTTTTATAATTCGTTCACATATCCACCATAGAAAGCTTTAAGTACCTGCAGTTCATTTTTTATTTTTCTTCAATTATCAATATTTTTTATAAATAATAATTCATGTCTGTGATATTTTGTTTGGATATGAGTATGTGTATATGTGTGTATTATCCGAATAATGGTAATTATTTCATTGTTAATTAAAATTTTTATTGTATTGTTAAAATCTTTGTATATTAATATCTATATATCAATTAAAAAATACAAAAAAGATATTTTCACTTGAGGTGATTCAACAATTGAGTGAATATCAAAGCAATGATTAAATTATTTACATATAATGATGACGTGAAAAATAGTTATGACGTGTCTTACAAGACAAAAAAAAGTAAAAAGGAAGTATAATTTCATATAATGGATATACGTGAATGTATGTCTAAATATGCTGTATATATCATATGTATATTCGTTACTTATTATTATTACAACAGCATTATAAAGACAGCGTAAATGAATCGTCAAGGAAGGTCATGAATGACATGAGAAAAATGACTGATATAGTACAATTCATTCAAGTTCTACCAATCGCGTAATAACGCCTGATTATAACTTTATTCGTGTAAACTTCAATTATTGATTATATTAAATTTCATTAACTCTGTATATCTGTTCTCTTTTAATTTTTTTTTTTTTAACTTTCAATGAATATTTATAATTTCTTATCATTTCAATATCAATATTTGTCACTATTCATGTGAATAAAAATGGAAGTATTCAACAACCCAAGGCAGTTATTTTTTTTCTACCATTCTTTAAATTATTCAAAAAATAAGGATTACCTTCTTTCAAAAAAATTAAATTTCACCTGACACTTGGATGGGTTTTTAGAGGATCTGGAATAACTTCTTGAGTTCCACCATCAATTGCCAGTCAGTTTTTATCAGATCATCTCGGAAATAATCTTTACATGCATCTATACTCTGTCTGCTTATCTGTAATAAAGAAAATACATTATGAGTATATAATTGTTTTTGAATATTTATTATAAATAAAGTCATAAAAAAATCTTTTAGTCTATTCAACAATTTAATTCTTCATTCCTCTTCAATATATCTTTTCTATTCTAAATATTATTCCATTCCATTCTTAAAAATAATTTAAGAAAATATAAGTCATAAAAAACTATGTAATAAACACCTGGAATATTATTATTGAAAATTATTATTTAATTTTTATTTTCAATCAAAGGATGAGTTGCTGAGGTAAAAAAACATGCTTTAAATTCAAGTTTTTTTCTTATTTCTAAAATAATCCGTTCGTTCTTGAGTTCATTCAATATGGATTATAAGAAATTTTTTATCCCTGAATGAAACTGTTTAGGAATTATAACCAGATTTGTTATAGTAAAAAAAATTAATCATTTAAACACTTATTAGTATTTATAATAAACTGCTATTTACTAGAATTTTTGATGAAACAAATGGGATTTGTAAATAAATTATTCAAATGATTATCAATATTCAAGTAAAAAGGAAATACTTCTAACGACTTAAATAATTGGATGAATTTTCCAAGAAACGTTTTACGTTTCTATTCACTATCTTAACAATATCTCGTTAAGCAATTATTCCAAATGATTACCTTATCAATGTAAATATCCACGTATTTACAATGAAATATTCAATAAAACTCATTCATTTTTTATTTTTACTCACAGCAATTATCCTGACATTAACTATTTCGTAGTCATTTTATACTTCAGAAATATCTATTCTAATCGCAAGTCAACTCTTAATGCTTATATTAAATATTAAATTCTCTAAAGTACTTTTTCGAGATGATTTTGAATACACTGGTGATCAATTATTCATAAATATCAGCAAGATTTTATTTTAAAAATAAATATTGACTGCAAAAAAAGAGTGAATAAATGAAGTCAGCTAAAAGGAAAAAAGTGTATGAATGAGAATAAAGAAATAAATGAATGATGAGGTAATTATTGAGAGATTATTCTGAAACAATACATTAGAAATGAATCATTAATTGAATTGGATAAAATAAAGGATGAGGTATGTGTGTATAAATATAATGTCACATAATAGCATGAAAATAATAAAATAAAATGTGAAATGGAAAAACAAATGAATGGATAATATTGTTATCAGTATGAATGACTGTGACAAGGTCGTTAGATATGAATTGTTGTTATCATTAATCATATAATCCTCTATACTTATCTCACAATCACATTGGAAAGCCCTTAATATAACAACTGTGTCTATGTTTCAACGAAATTTCATGAATGAATAGCATTTTGGAGAGACTTTGAGCAGCTGTCCGATTATCAAACACCATCAGGTATCTGCTTAAGCTGCTCTTAAGCCGAAGAAAAAGATGGAAATAAAAGGGAAAAGGCACGAAATATGGTTTAAAGATGAAGAGGAAAAAGGAACGAGATAATAAACGACGGCAAAGCGTGAAATTGTCAAAGCCGGTTTGCTTCTGGCGGTGAAGAAGGAAAACGGTTGTGTCCTCCATTCATCGGCATATAACGTAACGCTCTACAACTGTTTCCGTCCCCACCCGCACGCACCGGAAGTCCCGTTTCATTCATGAATCGGTCACAATGGTAGTTTTACGTAGCTATTGAGGACGTTCTCTCTTTTCCCCACTGCATTTAACAACTCTCTAAAAGTGTCACTATCCTTTTTGCACTCTGTTTGTTTTGTCTTACTAATTTTATACTTTTCCTCATTTTCAAGGCCAACCAACGGTTTCAAATATTTTTGCTCCAGCTTCTATTATACCCAAAATATTGTCCATTACACTTGTTACGCTTTTCAACACGTGACTATTGTGTTGGTACACATTTGGAGTAACAACATTTTTAGTTTTTCATTTTTTTTTTTCTTTTTTCGGAGTCTAAATGTAGAATTATATTCTGAAAAAATATTCAATGTTAGTTTCACCTTCACATCGCAATGAAACATTGAAAAAATTTTTTATTTATTATTCATTAAAATGCGCATAAATTTATATACTTCTTATCAATATCAGAAATTACTATAAATCAATTATTGTTCACGTTTGAAATTCTTTATCAATATCTAAATGTTGGAAAATTATTCAACTAATTTTTTTATAGATACTAACATTTTTTTTATCGGTTAAAAAAATTTTTAAAACCTTAAGTTAATGTTTGATTATTAATTTATCACAAAAAATTAAAATTATAATTTTAAAATGACAAATAATATTATTTTACAATTACATATATGTCATTGCCGAAATATTTAGCTTCGTCTGAATAAAAAAAATCCTCTTTAAAGACATCTGTTTACTTTATACACATTGTAAGTTACGTAGAAGTGTTCAATTGCTTTTGTTAATCTTTCCTAAGATCCTCTTGGACCCTTTTAAGGATTTTCTTCCTGCTTTTTGAAACTTAAACATTTTTTTTTTTCTTTTTATAAAAATATATCGAGCGTATACAGAAAAATGATACGGTAGATTTTACGTAAAAAGTTAAGTAAAAATTGTTAAGTAGATTCTTACATGATTTCAAGTCAAAGTCACTTGAAATGTTATTGTTTTTATCAGACAGTGATTGGATTGATTTATATTTTATAGATGAGAACTCGAACGGGTGGTGCATAAAACTACCAAGTTGATGATCATCGTGGGAACAACTGACTTCCGGCCCTTCTTGCAATTGGAGACTGGGACCAACTTCCGTTTCGTCGTGGCCCCCCTCTAACATGCACGTATGCTTTCTATTTCGACATTTCAATCAACGAAACAAATTTTTGCGGTTTTTGTAATTTCGGAGTCTTTTTGAAACTTCAAAAAAAAAAAAAAGAATTCGTTTACTATTATTATTCTTTATTACGAATATAATGAAATAAATTTGCGGAGTCAAAAAAGTCAAGAGAGGGAGAAAAAAAGTATTTTCATTGAAACATTACTCACTTTGATTCCTCAATTTATTCAGTATTAACATCAAAGAAAATAAAAAAAGGGGAATTTTAATGACAATGAGTACAAAGCAATGAAGAATTTTCTTATAAGATCACGTAAATCATGCCGACATTATTAAAACCTCAATATGTAGGACCACATTCGAAAAAGGAAGATGCACATCCGGTGACCACCTAACCGACGTTTTCCGTCGTGCCTAACATTATTCTGTGCTTGTCTGATTCACAGTAAGTCTATATCTTATCTACTTCCTCACTTCAAAAAAAATTCATTTTATTATTCTCTATTAATAGCTATTTTACTTCCTCACTTAGTATTCAATAGTTTCTCATTATTGTGGATTTAATTAATAATTACTAATATCTTTTTTTTTCTAATAAACAATGCCCTAATATTTTCATTAATAAACTTGAAGAAAAAAAATCATCTATATGGTAAATACTGCTTAGCTTAGTGTTTCTTGGGGTGGATAATAGAGCAAACAGTACATATTAATAATGGAAAAAAAATTAATAATTGTTATTAATAATTTCCTCTAGATTTTAATTAAGAAAAATGATCGTGGTATATAAAATTTCACAGAACTGTGCTGCAGTGACTATTTTTTCTTGTACAATGGAAGCGTGATTTTCTACTTTGTTATAATTTTTTCCTCATCAATCATCACGTTGAATCACGAGCTTATCAAGAAACGAAATGTCATGTTATTCTCATTACAAATGATTTCAAGTCTAAAAGTAATTGTATTATTGGCAACATGATTTTCGCTTTGTAGCAACCTATATTGGTCCACACCTAGGGCATGAGTTTGGTTGAATCTAGGACATAAGTTCAGGTTAGTAGGTCATCCCCGAGCCCTGGCAACATCAAGGACGTCAATGGGGAGCTCAAGTAACCCTATTTTATTTATCTCTGTGATGCTGTACTACTGAAAATAAACTCTTACTTAATTTATCATTCTTCAAGTTTTGTATTAACCTATTTAATAAAATATTACATAGAGTTGGAAATTAGTTCTCAACATTCATTTTTACCATTTCCTGTTCATTTAGTAAGAGCTAGAAAGAGTGATCAAATGATATGTTTTACGTTTGCAGAATTTAATCACCAACTGAACAATTGGATAAATGTAAATCCCTCACTCATACTTACTAACATGTGTGTTAGATAATAAATGGAATAAAAAAAAATTCTTTGAAACGTAAATATTTTTTTAAATTCAATATTGAATGAAAAAAATATTGCTTCAAATTCTACGTACATTTTCTTCTAATAAATAGATTTTTTTATTTTTCCCAAAAGTCAAATTTCTTCCTAAAATATTTTAAAATGAGTTCACATTACTAACGGTCAATTTACCCAATTTCTCGTTAATTTATAATAAAAAGTTATTGATGAAACTTAAATGGCAGAAATAATTTCTTAGAATACTTGCGTCATTTTAAATCCCTAAAATTTCAAGGCTGTCAATAGGTAATAAAAAAGTAAAATAATGATTACTAGGTTCTCCATTTTAAAATCAATTGTTGAAATTTGAAGATTTTGAGACTTTAGAATTGACAGAGTCACTAGAATAGTAAGAGAAAAAAACCCCGGGAGAGAAAAAGCTATGTTGGGGATGTTGAAGAAAGTGGAACAACAACCTGAGGGTGAATGGGCGAGAAAGCCAAGTCCGGATGTCCTGGTTTCTATTCCAAGGACTTTATGGCTCGTAGCTCAATGAAGCTTTTGCGTTCACCCTCGTTCGTTCCCACCCCTAATGCCATGAACTCGATCAATACAACCTAGCTATGAATGACTGCTTCATGAATGCGTTCATTAAAAAAGTCATAGATGAAAGAAAATCGTTTCAACACTATATTTTTCTCAATCAACACAATTTCATTAACAAACTAAACAAAACTTTTTCATTCAATGCTGATTAATTATCATAATAAAAATGTTCATATCATGAATTTCTTGATAATTATTTCTAAAATAAAATTCTCTAACTAATAAAGTTCTTTTAATTGAATAAATAAATCAGATCGAGTGAATAAAAGGATTAAAGAATAAAAGAATTGATCAGACTTCTGATCAGATATTTTTGCAAAGAAATCTCCAACATTCTATTTAAGCTTAGTATTTATTTAATAAAGTAATATATTGGAATTTACTTTATTTATTAAATTGTGCTATTTTAGTGTATAGTGATAAAGTATTTCTTTTTTAATAAAAACTAATGAATAATTAAATCAATTAGTTTATTTTAGGTTTCAAAGATATAATAAGAAACGTAAAGTACTCTCTAGGTATTAATTCAGGTTAACTATCTTTATCTATTTGTCGTTCGCTTGCATTTAAGTTGTATTACTTTGTCACGAGCTGGCAAAGCATACAGTTAAGTGTGATTCATAGAGGTTTTATTCGAGACCACCATATGGCCTAGAAATAAAGCTCAAGTGTGCAGCTATGAATGATTGAGTGACGACCAATTCAAATGCAAAATAAGTGGCTTCAAAAATGCATTAAAAATCGGTTGGAATTTTTTGTTTTGCAAAAAATATTTTACATAAAAACTCTAAATTTTTTATTAAACAATAAATTGTTATTTAAATAAATAATTGAGAAAAAAAATACAAGGTTTACATTATTAAAAAATTATTTAAATATTGAAAGAAATATTTTTAGAATTAATTAAATAGATAATTATTTTATGAATAAATAATCAATACTGATAGAATTCACCTTTAAAAAAAGAATTATTAATAGCAACAAAAAAGAAATAGAAGCAGATCAATGACCCAGACTGTTTGTTTAATCAACACTATTTCGGCAGTGATATAATAAATATTTAACCACTTTGTCTTCTAATAATATTCATGCAGCGAATGGATTTTCGATTATATTCATGAAGTTTAATAATATATGGATTCACTTCCGTGAAGTAGAGAATGAAGAGAATGTAAAATTGAATACATCAGGATGAATTAATTGCTAGAATTACATTAGGATATTAATAAGAATTATATGATGGAAGAGACTTGGGTTTTGTAAGCGTGGGATAAAAGCAAAACGGAATCGAAACGCGGGGCATAGCAGGCACATATCTCGCGTGACTCGGGATATACCAGACGACCGGATGCGGGCGCGGAAAGCGTGGGCGTTTAGAAAATCAACGAGCTCGGCTATCGACGTAAGAGACATATATTTATTTATTTATCAACGTTAAACGTTAATAATAACGTATCGATATTACTTCCGTTCTGATATGCTGGTTAATCGCGAATACAACAGAATTCTCAATTTTACTCAAATTTTAGAGAATTTCATGTTTTAACATTCTTTTCAATCAAAATATACGATTTATTATTCAAATATATCTGCAATATTCATTTCAATATTTATTTAAATTTAAAAATTAATTAAAATAATTTTTCTTAATTTTTGATTAAAAATAAAATCAAGTCAGTATTTTATTACATTTGGATTTTTTTTCATTTTTATTATTAAAGACTGTTCAGAGAAGTATTATTTTATATAATAAATTCAATCTCTATTTTTTATAAATTTTTTTGGAGTAAAATATTTTATTTAGCAGCTGAAATATTTTACTATAAAAAAAAAAATGCCAAAATATTAAATGAATGTATTTATCGTTTGAATAAATTTTTTTTAGAATCAAATGAAAGGCTCTTTATTTCTGTGATAGAATAAAAAAAAAGAACCTGCGCTTTACAAAGCAAGTATGTACATACATTGGAAGTAAAGTTAACTCCACGACATGGCGCAGGCGTTGCTTTTCATAGTGAAATCAATGAGGGCAGACACAAGGGTGGTGTATTTATGAATGAGCCGGATCAATGAATGGCGCCTGAGGGGTGACTTGGATCTATGAATGAATCTAAAGAACTAGCCAATAATAGCCGGATGCCGACCCAACCGTAATTAAATAATCGATAAAATCGTTTTTATAAAGAAATCGGTTGCTAAACAGGAAGTACCTATTTTTATGCTCAATTTTATTCTCAATGACATTTTCAACGCTGCTATCATTACTTTTCATCGCTTTTGGTAATAAGAAAAGTATTGATTTCGATTGAAAATAGACTGTAGGGAGCTCTGTGGAAGCGGAAAAAATTGGTTTGTGAAGAATTGAGGGTCTTTGGCTATATGGGGATGATATATAAGCAGATGTGGAAGTGAGCCTGGTGTTTAGAACATGTTTCCGGCCTTACCGGAAATACAAAGTGTTTTTTGAGTTTTTAGATGAAGAAGATACTTTTTAAAAATATTTTCTTTTGTTTTATTAACTTCAACTTAAGAATTTTTAACTTCAAAAAATAGCATAAAAAGCTTGAAATTATTAACTCAATACAAAAATGTTTCCAATTTACCTCGAAGCAAGGGTTTTTGTTTATAAAAACCATTTTTTATCATAATTATAGGGTTTTATATAATTATTTAAGATTGAGAGATCTTTATCGTTCTTAGTAGATATAAAAACAATCTCGCCTAATATCAGTTATTTGACTGAATAATATAATTTTTCAACATTATTTTTAAATTTAATCCTCAATGAAAAAAAATGGTTTCCTCTTACAAAAAATACCCCTGAGAAAAATTCCAAATTATCTCAAATCACTATACATTTTGTAATAAAGTGCTTTGCTTCAAAACTAATTCTTTGATAACTTGTTCTTTTGATTGATCATCAAAAGCTTCCTAAACTCAGTTCGTTACAAATTGATTAATTGATTGGAATGTAATAGAATAAAGTGTCTAACAAAGCTATAAAAGTTAGATTGAAAGAACTATGATGCAGAGGCAATCTAATAATAATGACTCCATATTTAGTTCATGGTTAAATTGGGCAATTCAAATGCTAGTTAAAAGAACTATGATGAATGAACCAAGTTGATTACAAGACACTTACCTTGCTAACAATGAAATCAGTTTCATCAAAGTGTCTGCCAAACATTTTTGGCGCCTCCCCTGGCACTGGTTCGATCTTCACACAAACCTCCTGGCCCTTTCGCGCCGACTCAACGGCCTTGTGGTTGTACTCTATGCTCGTAACCACGCCCAAGTCAATGAACTGAAAGAAGAACAGGAAAGAATCATAAGCTATAAGCATTTTAAATCACTTGGTATCTTCATTAAATCATCATAAAGTGTTGACAGATGTCAACAGATTTCAGTTTGAAGGATGCTTCTTAAAAGAGATGTTTATTATTTCAATGAATATATACCATGCACAATAAATATATGTTCATACGTATGAGATATAATTGATGAAAAATCGGTAAAAGTTGCTGCTGATGACAAACGATCATCTAGATCTTGTTCTTATGAGCATGTATACTCAGAAAGCCATTTTATCATGATCCTGGTCTGGAATACATGATGTTATCACTTTCAGATGATGGAGTATGATGCTAAGTTTATATGTAAGTGATTGGATTATTATCACAAGTTATAATCTTGCGTGGGAATGCGAGAGACATTAAGTTCCGGCGATCTAGACACCAAAAACTCTTTGGCGAACGTCTTCTACAACACCAACTACCCACATCGTGAACTTACACCAGCAGAATCGTGTTTTCTACCTTCTTGACACGCCCAATAAATTCCTCTACTCCAGAAAAATATTGTGCTAACTATTACACATGTTCAAGAAAATCACTAATTTATGCTAACGATCAACTTTTCTCTCGCAAAATCATCCACCATATTATTTCGGATTTTTTGCATCAACTCAATAATATTCTGCCTTGAAATTATAGCTCCTAAATGATACTTGATTCTGACTATATATATATCCTGATTAATGATGCCAATTAGATGAATTAATGAATGAACCTTCTATTAAAAGAATGTATGAAGCAATACTAAAATATAACCAGATGCATCGAAATAATTTATTCATTGATTACAGGTTTTTTTTGTATTTTTTAACTCAGTCTCTGTAATTAAATAGATAATTTTTTTTAATCTATTCAATGAAAAAGGTGAACTGATGAGTAAATGTTACTTAATTGTGTTGAAATTAACAGTGATGAAAAAAGTATTTCAATTGATTACTCCAAAAATTTATTATCCAACTATTATACCTTTAGTTAATAAGAGAAAACCTTTTTCTTAATAGTCAGTTTCTTTTAAAAATAAAATATCTGAAAATGTAAAATTTACTATAGAAATAAAGTGTAGGATGAAGTGAAAATTTATCTACTTCATAAATAATATCTTAATGATGAAAATAAGAAAAATAAATTATTCATTGAATATAATAATTAATCTATAGACTTATTCTTCTAAAAACAAGATAAAAGTTGAATTAATTTTTTTATCAATCAAAAAATAAACATTAATCATACTTAAAGTCTAATATTGCTAAAAAAAAAATGTGCGCCCACAAATTAATTAAGCTTAATACCAAGCTAGCTTGAGAAAAATGTTTTCAATCTCCCAGACTAAATGAATAAACGCTAAAGCGATTTTCTTCAATAAATCCTATAACTGGAGGGGGCGAATGATTGAATGAGTTAGCACATGGTCTAGTTGTCTAGTGTAGCCTATATTTCATGATATTATCATGGTAATCCGCTCTTAACCACCGGAAGTAAGGTGAAAATGAAAAGAAAACATTAGTGAAGAAAGATTGAAGTGAACACTGACATGTAGTCAGGATTTTCTTGATTCTCGCGTGGGTTAAACAGGCTTTTCTATACTCAGTCACGCCTTGAAAGTCTCTTACAGTCTCTCTTATTGCAAATTCCAGTTGGTGGTCAATCGTACATTTTTACCATCATGATTGTACTTGTGTACCATCTTATTTAAAATGTCTGTTGCAGAAGATATGTCTAATTCAGTTATTTCATCATCAAATTAAAAAGTAAATATACTACATAAATTATGTGTAAACGACTCGATGACTCAATAATTATTTTCCTATGCCACATAATTGAGTGTTAAACTTGAAATTATTACTTTAACAGTTATATTACAAATACACATTCAGAAAATTGTGTAGTAGTTATAACGGTTAATAGTTTTAATCATTCACAATATTATGTTTACTCATTTAATCAATTAAAATAAATTATAATTTCAAATAGTTAAGATAAAATTTTTTAACAATAAAACATTTGCAGTAGTATGATTCACTGAGAATCTTAATAAAATAATGAATCTACTTAATAAACTTAACTAACTATTTTTCTTCAATAAATAAAGATTAATAGTGTTTTTATTTTAATGTCAACTGATTGGAATAAAATTATATAATTAGAAGTAAATAAGAATTAATAATTTTAGGTCTATTTATTTAATCTGATTTACAAATTGAATTGGAAAAAATATAATTTATGTGAATGTTTTCAAACTTTTACTTGATTATAATTTTATCAGAGTTTAATTACATAGTTAGTTAATAATAACTGACAGATATATATTTGTTAGACACATTTTTTAATAAATAATTTATAAAAGAGATATAAATGTTAGTTGAATCAATTAATTACTTTTTATCAGTTTGTAATATCTAAAATAAAATATGTAAGTAATTTTAGAAAATAAACTGATCAAGATTTTATTAAAAAAAGAAATTAATTCCAATTGACATGTTATTTTGTATTTCAAAATATATAAATATATATATATATTTCAAGTGTCAATATATTTTTAGAAGAAAAAATATCTTTGAAAAGATAAAGAAACAGATAAAACACATGGAATTTTCTTCAAGTATTAAAGAAGACAAGCATGTCATTGATTGAGTTACAATTTTCCTGCAACCAATTTAGTAAGGTTCAAGGAAAAAGAAATAGGAGAAAATAAATAAGAAGAAGAAGAAGAAGTGGAAGAAGAGTACAAGAATGAGAGAAAAAGATTAACTGAAGTCTTTCGCATCCTACACATTGAATGTGGTGTCTGAAAGCAGTCAGTCCCACACAATTCTCATTCTCTGGTCTGACAAACCCACGATTTTCTACTTTTACAGCCTCACGTGGGTTAACCTCTTCTTCATTTGACGACGAGGACTACAGGCACTCCGGAAATCGACGCACCTGACGTTTGACTCCTCGTATCGTCACACCAAACGTGTACTTATCATCATCTCGTATTTATTCGTGTCACCATAAATGGATTCTCATTAAAACAAATGGCCTATCATATCACATGACGCCTACTAAACCCCTGAGAGCTGTTAAAATATATACCCTGAATATTTAAATAATCATTTACATTCATTGGAAATTTTCAATTAATTCATATTTAAATTTATTGTTATTAAACAAGTCGAAAAAGGTAAAACGATACAAGAAAGAAAATATGAATAAGAGAATTAGAAATGTATTCGTTAGCAGGGGGTCGCTCTTTAAAATTCAGCAGTAAATTTGTTTTGTCACACAAAAAGCTGTTTGTAGGCTAACGAGACTGATAAAGGTGCTAAAAAAAATATTTGAATTACTATATACTACTTGACTGAAAAGTTTTATTCTTTTTTTATCATGTCTTTTTTTTTTGATTATCTTTGATTTATAAAATTTATGGTAATTTTTCGGCTATTTTTTCTCCTTAAAAAAAATAAAACAAATGTTTGAAGAAACTTAAATTATGACTATATCTCATGTTTTATGGAAACGTATAAGAATGAGAGAATGCTAACGATCGTGCTGATGGTGACGATGATGGTGATAATGATAATGCAGGGAAATTCATAAAAGCGTAGGCTAATTATTTTGTTTGATTTCAATCACACATTCCATTTGTAGTTTTATTTATTACATTTAGATTGAATTGACTTGGCAAAAATATTTATGCCCCTAAGGTTAAAAATGTTATGTAAATACACTTATGCTTTTGAAAGAATTCATCATTCATTTGAATAAAAAATTTGCGCCTACTACTAGTGGCAACTATTTCTAAATTTTTTTTCTCTCTTGAAAGGCTTTTAAAATTTTACTGAGGAAAAAATTTTTACTCTAAGATTTAATGTTTTTTAATGGATTTTTATCATTCGACGAAAGGAATTCATATTCTGGAAATATTTGAATAGACAATTTTATTTTAATATCGTCAAAAGTGATATTTGAACCTTTATAGTATGAATTCAATTTATCTTTTATCAGATTTAAATTCAATTTATTCTGGACTTGGCGTAAATTATAACTCTTTTTACTACTCTACTATCAATATGGTATAGATATTTACTTAAAAGTACATCATTTCCATCAATTTTATTTTAAATAAACTCATCAAAATTTCTTTCAACAAAGAGGTAATCAACAAAAACAAATATTTCCACCTACACAACAATAACATTTTACAATAAAAAAAATTCTGGTATTGAATAGATTAGTTTCAATCACTAATTAGTTCACAAAAATACCTCTTCACCAAAAAAAAAAAAAAAACAATTTCTCAGTAGTTCAAACCATCTACTGAATTAGAGCATCACGTGATCGTAAGATAATCACGTGTTAACCAATCTCTACGTCAAAAATTTAAACGCGCGATTTCTCAAAGATCCTCTAAATTTCTTCACACACACCACGTTTGAGTCACGAGTAATTAATAACTCAAACGGTAAAAAAAAGATTTTTTTAGCATCGACAATCGACGTCAATAATACACTGGTGAAATGAATGACGTCAAAATGTTGCAAAGTGTTGATCAAACTAATTAAACGATCTATAAAGTGTCTTATGTGTGTGTGTGTGTGTAGGTGAAATATATACAGAAGTATTTGATGTTAGTACACAGTATGATCCAAGTAAAATCAAAGTTTAGACGACGTAGCAGTTTTTCTAATGTTGCGGAGGCGTCAGATGAGCACATGACATCTACTCTAGGACGCAATCGCCGACGAAAAACGACGACTAAACAGTTCGTATATTCGTGCCACAGGCGGTAAATAAACTATAAAGGATTCTAAATCGGTGAGGGTTACTAAAATAGACTTCCGGTTCCCGTCTCGGCCGGCGTCTACTTAAAGCGGTTTATGCCAAATGTCCATCCCGTCTCTTTACTTCAGAGACTACCAAATTTTCTTTTACTTCATCTTCTCTTTATTTTCTTCATTTTCCACCCGTATCCCATTTTACTCCCCATTAAACCACATCTCATAAATCGTCATTTTTGCTTAAAAAATTTCCATTCATCATTAAATTAAATTCTTCAAATATACATTTTTTTTTCTGATCAATTTTTCAGCAGTGATTTATACGTTGAAGATAAATATTTCAATATTTAACACAACCTTTTTTTCGAATTTAAATTTAACGAAAACATTTATGTTTGATTGTTTGAATTACTATAAATCTTCTATTTAAATTCAATAATAAAATAGAGTTTAATTTATTATTATTTTAAAAATTATTCACAAATATTGTAGTTTAAAATTTTGTTCGACACCAAAAATGTCATAATAGGTCGTTGTAGTTTGTTCTCTTGTCTCCCACTACATCCTCTTTCTCATGAATGGACTTTATTGAGGATCAATCGGCCTTTCGCCCACGTTTCAACGCCTTAAAACGCGTTTGCGCAGCTGTTAAAATTTTTCTTCTTCAGTTTCCTATTTTGTATTAATAATCTTTTATTTTTATTTCTCCTTAGTACATAGATTTTTTCCACAAAATATTTTATTCTCACGCATTTTATTATTTTCTTTTTTTTTATATTTGTTAAAAGGTAAAAAAAAAATGTAAAGAAAAGATGATTTTTTGGTATAAAATAAATTTTTGGAACAATATTTAATAAGTTGTGCTAGAAAAAAATTTTCTTTTGAGAGTAATAAAATTTTCACATGAAATCGTATATTTAAATCATGTCAACAATAATTTGTAAAGGAAAATAAATGGTAAAGATGTAGACATAGGGATATATAATTTGTCTCACATGAAATCAAATAGATTTCCTTTCTCATTTCCTGAATGTCCTTCTCATCTATTATTTATTTTTTTCCTTTCTCACTTGATTGTCGGACAGGTGATTGCCGCTAAGACGAAGAGAAAAGAACATTGACCTTAAATTCCTTGAAGAAAACCCTGAAGAACGTCTTTTACTTATTTCACATACTTTTTTCTATCATTTATTTTTTTTCCTTTCTCCTTTCAACTTATTTAAAATTGTCTCTCTTCAACTAACTTCTGTCTTTCATGTGTATCTCTTTATTCCATGACGACAAAAAAAAATAATAAAAAAAACGGAAACAGATAGTAGTAAAAAATAAATTGAGGAAATGCTGAAGATTCTACAGCAATCGACAAAATGGACGATAAGTGGATTTGCTTATTGCTAGTTTATCAATGGTTTAAAGAAAGAAAGAAAGAAAGACTCTTTGAAAGAGATTTTTAGTCACTGAAATTTAGTGAATCGATACTGATATCTTAACGTTGACTATTCAGGTATGCGTATTTCCATTATAGACCACACAAAATCCTCTTTACTTTTTATCTTATTTTCTCCATTATTGTTTTATGATCCAATCATTGTTTATTTTCTATTTCATTCATGTAACAAAATGATAACTTTTTACTAATAAAATCCTTCTCAAAAAAAACATTACTTTATTTTTTCATCTATCAGTGATTCCATTTTTTTAAATTGACATTTTTGATCAACATCCTGAATGAAAAATAATCACTTCCGTCTTCAATATTTCCTTTTGTTATTTTTTTTGTCACAAAATCATCCCATTTTTCCGCACTTTATGTATACAAATATATTGTGTGTTGATATAAATATTTTATTACATAAGTTCCAATTTTTTCCTCTTCCGTTAGTAGTGTATACGTCTTTTATTCTCTGTATGAGTAGATGATAACGGCCGGAAGGAAACTGGGGGCGTTTCCAAACCGGAAGCCAGACGGGACGTAGCTGTTGGTGGCCAAACTAGAATTCATCCGGTGGCACATGCCACTCAAAGATGCCGACATTTCCATTTATGGGATCGTTTAAAATTTCGAGGAATAACAGACATTTTTAACTAACACTCATCCGTTTACATTAATTCATCATTTACTCGTAAATAGAATGTTAAAAAAATTATTTCCACCTTTTTGTAAATAGTAAATATTTCAATAAGATCTTTAATCTTGATTAATTGGTGATGATCATGATACAGTAGCACTCTTGAAACCAATTTATCTGTCAAAGATTTATTAAAAAAAAGCATTTTTTTGATAAATCTATTTTCGATTTATTTTTGATAATTTAGAATTTCTTTTTTAGTCAAGTACTTACATACTTGTTGGAATTATTAAATTTATTCTTTTTTAGAGAAGATGAATGCAATTTTTTTGTTTACATAAATTATTAATAAGATTAATAAATCAAAGTCGATGAAATTCTTACGGCAGATGTTTTAAAATGTGAATTGATAACGTGCTGTTGAACTTACGATGATATAATGCTTTATATTATGTTATATACATGTAAGACCCCTCTTTGATGCTTGCATTTTTTCATCTTTCACTTCTTTTAGACACTTCTCGCTTAGCCACTGTTATGTTATTAGATCCCCTTCCGCTCGTTGTCTCTTTGGTCTACTTATTGTGGATAAGACATGAGATATGAGTTGAAGTACAAAAAAAAATACAAAAATTCAATGGCGTAAAGTTGAAATATTATTTTTCTTTTTCCATTGAGAATGAAAAGAAAATAAATAATAAATAAATATTTAAAACATGACTGTTGATTATTGAGGCAATGGAATTTATTTAAAGCTAGCAAAAATGGAAAAGTGTGTCAGGTTACGAGAGGAGACCGGAAATAAGTGATCTAAATACGTAATTTGCTTGTGAGGTCACGTATATTGGTTAAGAAGAAAGATCCAAACAGCTTAAGTCATCTAGAAAAACTTTGGTCACACTTACACATTGGATGTTAAGTGTCTTGAGAGTACTGCAATATCTTTACTATGACTTGACCTAAGCCAACACTTCGTGACGGCCAATATCCGGTCTGGATGATTTGCCTCAAGCCACTTTAGACATGCTTGTGACTCTATGCTTAAGGAATTGTCATGAATAAGATAAATTATTGAGAAATATACAATTTTGAATGTTTCCATGTCACAAAGGTCGAATGGCTTTCAATAATATTGAAGAAATAAAATATAACCAGGATGGAGAATAAAGGATTTATGAAATTGAAAGATAATAAAATGGATAATAAAGTGGAAAAACAGAATTGAAGGTATGCAGAATTGTTAAACACTTTTAAATCTTAGATAAAAAAATAATATTCTTTAAATAGTTTGACTTTCAATCATGTTGATAATAAATAGAAAGGAAAAAATATAAAATATTGCTACTTTGTTAGTTTTCCAAGAAATGCTGTATTTGCAGGATAAATTTGCTGAAATGATACGTGTATGTACCATCAGCAAGCTCAAAAAGGGTATAGTATGATGAAATGTAAATCAAGAATCAACAAAACCATGACAGAAATTGAAGTCAAAAACTAATAAGTAAACCTTATGATTCGCAGGCAAGAAGCGTGGAATTACACGTGGGCTAATGATATGGTTAGGTCTGCTTTCTATGCGCGGGCGACAGTATAAAATTCACAGTCCAGCCTCTGTGGTTGTCGCTCCTGTCCTCGTCTTCGTCTTCGTTGTCCATGTATGTGACATAAAAGATTCCAAAAGAGCATGAAACTTGAATGAACTATCTACAACCCACTTGAACGCACACGCAATACCACTTTGTAAGACATTTCGCGTCTATTATAGACTATAAGTTCATTAAAAAATCATAGTTATAGTTAATGTCTCCATAAATAAAGATATTTCGACAATATACCTACTCTCACAGTCCATATAAGTTGAATTAAAAAATCCCAACTCGTAAAAACCAATTCTCTAAACTACACATAGGAACATAATACTCCTGTGTCTTTCCAGTTTTATAGAGATTCAAGAAAAAATTATGTAAACAATGTGTGGATCGAGAAAAAAGTTTGAATATTGATTTTGTTATTCAGATATGTAATAATAATCAAGGAAGAAAAAAGCAACGGACGAAGAGAAAAGAGGAAATACACCTACACGACTAGAAAATAAAGAACTAGAAAATGTCATTACATGAATATTTGAAATCTGAAAAGACTGGAAAACCTCGTCCTCCTACGATTACTCTCAAGAGTCCTGTCAAGTCCTTCCGATCTTTTACTATGCAGATCGATTTTATCGTCAACGTCGTAGAGTCAACACAGACTGGTTCACCTACACAGATAGCAATCTTTTTACGAGACAGAAGCAGTATTATATATTTTTACCACTTTAATTATAATTTCGTTTCCCTCTCATCTGTCATTTATCTGACAAAATGAGCTATTATAAATAAAGCTTTCTTATTATTAGTGATATAAATGAATCCATAAATATTAATTTTATGAGAGAAATTTGAAAAATGAATCAATTAAAAATGTCGTAGCATGATGACAAATAAAAAATAGTTAATACTCATGTAACAAAAAATATTTAGACTTGCAAAAATTAATGACCAGAAAGTTGACGAGCGATACTCATGCCATGTGTGTATGTACTGAAACATGAGTTTGCGTAGGTTGAGTATCTCGTCCATTTCCATATAAAAATACGTGAAATCAAATAAAAGTAAAAATATAAGACGTATGGTGAGATTAAGTAATTGCCTTGATCCCCTGCGGTCTTACCACAAATTGAATTGCAAAGTATTTGAACGTTCAATTAATAAACAACATTATTTTCAAGTATACTTACATCTTTACTTGGTACACATACGGGTGTTCCTTCCTTCACGATTCCTGCTTCAACCATCACTCCAACAACGATGGGATCACGAGAATTGAAGATGAACTGAAATATTATTAAGAGACATTAATAATTATAATCATTTCATATATTAATAGTAAAAATTAATTTTATTTCTAATCAAATGACCCAGTAAATTATTTTTCATATTTAGCATCTAATTTCTACTAGTACATTTTCAGAAAATACGTGAAAATATTAATAAATAATATTCAAGTAGACTGCGTAGCATTTTAATATGCAAGTATCTATCGTCATCACATTCTCTTTGACAAAACCATAGTTTCGAATTACAATAAACGTGATATGCGTTCTGAGAAATTATTATCGCGCGTGCGCCATTATCAAATTTCAATTATAAACAAAATACATCTATTCCGTCGACTGTACATAAATAATAAAAATTTACTAAATTAAAGTTTGCTAAAAATACTTTAAGATTAAAATTCTTTTTCTCACATTTAACAGTATCCAATTGCAAGAATTTCATATTATGTAATGCTTACTCCTTCATAAATTCGCATACGAGCCATTACTTATTTCAAAATACTTCAAAAACTTAACTCAAAAATGATTATATCAGAAACATGAATGATTCAAGTTAAATGAATGTTTCTAATTAAATGTTGATGTATATTTTAGTTAAAAACCATTGATGTTTAGCAAACATTTTCAATCATTTCAACTATCAGTATAATTATGCTATTTAGATCAATTAGTTCATTTCTAGTATTTTTAAATTTACTTTTAATTAATAATTAATAATGCAATAAATAAGATTCAAGACTATTAATAAATCATCAACATTTTTTTATAAATTTATCGTTAATCAATGAATGAATAAAAATATATCATTGAAATGGAATAAAAAAAAATTGTTAAGAAAAATATTGAAAGCTATCTCTTGTGGTTTATAGACAAAATGGGGCCATCATTCAACTTCCTGCCCGTCTGTGCTCCAACATCCGGCGCTGATAAGCCCCTTCTGTATATCACACAGTTATTTTTTGTCTATTTTGTCACTCATCCGGAGTCCAATAACGTTGAAACGTTATCAGAAGCATTTGATAATTAAAAATTAATCATCATATTTCATTCTTAGTATTTTCTTTTGACTTTTCAAAGATATTGTTGTCGTTTCAATATCAAACCATCACAAATAACTTCCATAAACAAGTTCCATAATAGTTAGCTTATTGGTTGTAAATTTATTTGCCTGTACAATATTTATTTAAAGTAATAAATAATTAAATGAATAAATAAATAAAAGTATATACCTGTGGTAGAATACGTAATTTGCATGGAAATACTGCAATATGTTTAAACTCTTCTCTTTTGCGTTGCTTCAGTTCTTCTTTATAGGCAGTGAATTTATCAAATAAATGATAAATTATATCAGCTTGGAATATCTTTACTCCTAATAAATCAGCTTGCTCTTGAGCTTCACGTTCAATTTTCACATCAAATGCCAATATTGTTGCGTACCTGAAATTAATCGATTTTGCAATCAATTTATTATTCCAATAAAATACAATTGAAGATTTATTATATTGCAGAATTATTAATCAATTATTCAAACACGTGTTTCATTAGGAATATTCAATTTTCAATACTTTATGATTCTCAAGTGATTGTAAATGACCTCGATTAAATCATTGACATGCCCTGACAATACAAAAATAATTATTTATATATTAATAATATCCTTTTGTTTATTAAACTATGCAGAAATTTATTTGATAATTAATATTTATTCTTCTTTAGAAGCATTATTATTCTAGAGTTTTCAATTTTTTTTTACTGGAGAAAATAGATTACTAACGATGAGTATTAACTTGAGAATTTGATAGAATGATTAATGGATTGAATTTTTCTGGTTAATTAAATTAATTAAATCAGTAATTTTGAGAAGTTAACTTACTGGCTATCATGTTGTAGCATGGCGGATGCTTTCGTGACATCTTTCTTCACCACCGGACCAATTTTGATACCAGCATACTGAAACAAAATCAATTATTCTGTCATTCTAAGAAAAAACAATTTTTCAGTGAAAAAATTTTCATTTCATTAAATGTTCAATCAACTTAATTGAGAACACTCTTGGGGGTTAAGATTATGTTTTTTCCAAACATTTCATAGTTAATAAAATTAAATTAAGTCAATTTCTTTCATTACATTTATATGTTAATTTAAAAATATTTCTTATCTATATCAAAGTATAATGAGAAAATGATTAATTCTTTTTATTATTTTATTTATTCCCTGTTTGATCTTATAATAATTTAATAACTCATTTCTTAAGTTAGAAATTCGAGTAGATTTCAATTTGATAAGCAATAAGAGCAAAAAAGTGATCACAGAGCGACCGGAAATTCAACTGACACTCCTCATTTGGTGATAGAAAAGAAAACAGCGGGGGAAAAGTGAAAAGGTAATCGGTAAGAAAATAAGAGATAAATATAAATAACGAAATTAATCAAATAAATACTTAATAATATGATAATTTTTAAGACGATGAAAAGAAATGAAAATTTACAAATGCGGAATAAATGAAATAAAAAAAAATCTCAACGATGTGTCAGAGAGAGTGAACGTTTGTACCAAAAATAACATCTGACGCACGTTTCTCCTGTACGCTTGAACCATACGGAAACGTACTCCTCGGCCACGCAAGATGCGTAGAATACGCACTACACCTATAAACAAACATGAAGGGATCAGGCACGCCGCGGGTGCAATTAGTCACTTTTACCCTCGTTTTTTTATACACTTTCTACCCTTTTTCAGAGTTATACACATGAAGTATGTTTACTCCGAATTCTACTCCGATATTAAAAATTACTCCAAAATAAATAACTACATCATTTATTTGATTTATTACTTTCAGCAATGAAAATTTATTAATCACTTTATTTCTACAATATTTTACTGATTTAATCTTTTTTTATTTTGATTAAAAAAAATGTGAATCATTTTTGGAGCGAAAAAAAAGAATTCATTGGAAGAATAAAAAAATTTTTTTTTTTCAACAAGGGTAATGAATTTAAATAAAAATGACAATTGATAGGAGTAAATGATGGCAAATGAAGTGAAAATTGGGTGAATTTTTAAGTATTTGAGTTGAAGTATAAACAGGAAGCTTCTTCATATGTTTATCAAGTTCCAAGAGTGTTAGACTCTGTTCAAGTATTTTCAAGCTCTGAATATCTTTATTTGAAATCCAACGAGGTACGATCGGAGTGTCAGACCTTCCGAGAAATGCGTATTTTCGTATCGGGATACTCAAATTGCTCTCAAGAAACTATTTCCAAAGTGCAGTCGTCGCGAAATAAAATACCATTTTTTTTTATATAAATTTATTTTTAAATTGAAACAATTAAAACTGATAATAGTCAGTTCTTGATATTGAAGATTAACAAATAAAAAATTTAGAAGAAGAAAATCGAATTCAAAGAAAAAAATATTTTTAATTTAATAATTCTTATTCAAGAAATAAAATAAGTTGAATGAATGAATAAATGAAAAATTGAATGAAAGTGTTCGAGTAAAGGTATATGAATGAACTGGTTAATACTTGGAAGCTTTTCTTTTACGTTTTCTACCTTTGAAAGCGTACTTACTGGCCACCTTTCTCTATACCATTCACCAATTACTGCACATATGGACTCATGTGAAATGAAAGTTCATTAATGTTGTTGAGTAATTTTCTAATCAGAATAATGAATTAAAAATTTTATCGCAAGATATGCCACGATGCAAAATAAAAACACTATTTCTTTATTTTATAGGTAGATAAGATCATTCAAATGATAAAAGATCATTATACAAGCCAACATGTTTTAACTTTAAATTGCAATTCTTAGTAACTCTTGACTACTGATTATAATTAAATGTGCCAATTAATTTTTATCATTATAGTTTTGATAAAATTTATGTTCAATGAAGACTTGATTTATAATTGCATTAATATTCAAAAGTAGATTCATTTTTTTAGCGATTAAAAAATAATTATTACAATAATAGTTTTCATTTTCTTATCAATTTTCAAGTATTAAAATAATAATCGTTAATTTAATTTAAAACAATTATATTCAAATACTTAGAATATTGCATTTAAACATTTTAAATATTCAATTGAATTCTTCAAACATCCACCCATTTCCCTAATTTCTTAAAATTCTGATGTAATATTTTCAAATCAAGTCTCCAATTGGATTTTAAATGTCTTAGTTAGTCTTAAAAATTCACATCATAGAATATAAAATATCCATTAAACAAATTTTACATTGTGGCCAGACTTATTTAAAGTCAAATGATAAACATAAAAAAGAATAATATTTTCATGAAGCTTAAATTAAAGAATGATTGAACGTCTAATAGCACATATAATAATCGTCATTCTATAAGACGAAGGACGTAACGATGAAACACAATGGCATTGGATAATTAACAATTCTTAACGTGAATTATTTTTCTTGTACTCATACAATATATCTACACCGTCCACACAAGCACACAAGAAAACATACACACCTCTATTATTCATGGAATACAGTGGGTGCGTGCCAAGATTTACAATCGAGCATTTTTCACTTATCAAAGTCTAACGTTTACTGATTATCAATCGATTTCCATTAATAATATTTTCTCTTTTGCCTCTACCAAGCCCCATATTTATTTCTTATCTACATTATACCTAAGTTTTTTTTTCAACAGAAAAATCAAAAAATCATCATAATAATCTTTTACTTGAAATAAAAAAAAAAATAATAATAATCCATTTGGAAGTTGATGTATTTATTTGAGTACTTTCTAATATTTTTCAAAAATAAATTAACGACATGAGGAGAGAATGAAAAATATTATCAAGTCATATTTTAAGTGTGTATCATCTCGTGTATACGAGAAGCTGTAGGAAAAGAAATAAAGTTGATTTATGAGTCTAATTTTTGGGTAATAAAAATGATAAATATAATAAATAATGAATGAATGTAGTAAAAATATTTAAGAAATATATATTAATATATAAAAAGGAAAAAATAATATATATATAAAGAAATAGTAAGTCTAGTTAAAGAGTTTGCATTAGCAGCAGGAAAAGATGGCGCCCTTCCTTGCATTGTCTTTTACCAGGTAAGCAGTTTAAAGACATGAGAGCGGATATGAATTGTCTGCTGCATGCTCTGTCAGCTGTCAGTATGAATTTCCACGAGTTTTATGCGCTTCATCACCGCTATTATCATAAAAGTAAATATCGAAATTAAAAAATAGTCAAATGCATTTTTCTCACAACACCATCAATTAATATACTTTTTTTTCTCTACCATTTAATTTTATTATTTAAAGCTAAATCACAGGTTATAATGAATATTATTTGCTTTTTATAATAAAGTATTTTTCTACCATTACTCTGATATCTTCAAAAAAACTTTCTCTTATTTTACGAGTATTTTTAGATGGTAAAAAAGAGGCTTATTTGATGGATTAAGTTTTTTTAGTTGTTAAATACTGTTTATTTTAAGTGGGTATTTTTTTATCGTTGATGAGACAGTAATTTGGCCCACGGTATCTTATCTGGAATTAAGTATATCGGGTAGACGACGGATCACCGTAACAAATCGTGAATTGTGCACGATTCTGTGCGATTCCGCACACGTGTATATAACTGAAGGAGTGGCATATGGCGTGAGTGTAACATAAATGGCTTTCGAAACACAACGCTATAGGTTAAATTATTTTACAATCGATATCAATGACCGAAAATAAACTTAACGTTTTCTGATTATGTAAACGATATTAAATATTCAATGGAATATTCAATTTAATAGTACTAGTGTGCTGATCTATCTTAAAATAGCTTTTGGATCTTTTATCGATTCTTCATACATATCTAAGATGAAGAATTAATTAAAAAACAACTATAAAAAAATATAAAACAAATTTTTTTTTTTAATTCCAAAAATTTTTATTCTATTTTTTAAAATAAAAATTAATTAAGAATGAATGCTGCTCTACTTTTCAATTTCCCTTTTTCATTTAATAATTACTTTAATGGTAATTTTCTTTTTTAATTAATTCTATTATTAAAAAAAAGAACATTAACAAAATTACTTTTTGTTTTTTCGAAATAGATTGTAATTAAAGCTCGCTAAACGAAAATAAAAATACTCAATGAATTCTTTTTTTTTCATTAATCTTGATTACACAAAACAATTATTATTTATATTTGAATTCATATTTTTAATAAATTAAATAACCATGCAAAAAAGATCACTTGGAAGACATTGAAAGAAATTCATTGATCATAAAAGTTTCTTTCCAAAAGTCAACAAAAAAAAAAAAAGATTTCAAATTGATTATACTAATTAAAAAAAAATCTCATTTAAAAATTTTATTTCAGTAGATCACCATCCTCGTCTCCTCAAAAGGAAGAGTAATAAATTGATTCCATAGGTGCAGGTTCCAAGATAAATTTCCATTATTCATCTCATAGGTAGCAAGCTAAAATATGTGATTTTAGGTTAATTTTAACCGGAAGCAATTTATAAATCACTGAAATGGAAGGATAATCAACAAATGGAATTTACTTTGTGAATTCTGAGTAGTATAAGACAAAGGAAAAAGCCAAAGACGCAATTAGTAACTTCCTCTTATTTTCGAGCGTGAACTCAAAAGAGGTTACATATTGTTCAATCTCCTCTTGTTCCACCTCCGCGTAAAATCTTCTAACATAAGACGAAAGAGACCGTACGTCCAATTAACCGCGTAGCTCATGTAACAATTGAATGGAGGATAATAATTTATAAATTCTACAATAGAGTTGAGGAGTCGTGCGAACATCCTGCTTCTTCGATTATTATTAAATAATTTAAACTTTATATTACATAACTGTACATACCTATACTCTATTTATTTAATATCAACTAAATACCAAAAACGTGCTGTTTACATCTTTTTTTTCAACACATCCAAAAATCATAAATCTTATAGACCTAGAA